TTAGCTAGTTATATAGAAAACGCTTGAAAGTATAGATGGGAGATAGTGACAGAATTTAACTTTTGAACCTAAATTAATTGTATATGAAACTCGTCTACAGATAAGTTAGGGTCAGTATGTTTTTGTTGTTTTTTTTCACTTCTGTAATAAAGTAATCGTTCTCTCTTATATCTTTTCTCTTATGTCTTTATTTCAGAATTATTAATAAATCTGTTTAGTGCTCAATAGGCCTACTATTCTAATCGTAATTGAACAACTCTAGTGCCAACAAAACAGACGGTTATTAACCATTGTTTTTATGTGTCTGTGTAAAAATGTATTCATGTTCTAAATTGTACAATAAAGCACATTTTCCTTTCATTTCATTTCATGTATTTGCTAAGGATTATATGTATTCCTATACATTAGACCTAATAGTTTTGCCAGCATATCAGGAAATATTCATATGCAAACCTACTCTACTCCTGTTCTGAATATAAGAAGGTTTTAACTTACTACAAGATTCCCGTACGTAGAACGGGCAAACTGCTAGTTAATTATAATTTCAAAGAATTAATTATTATAGGAAACAGTAGACTAATTTCAAACGATAATTATTTCTTCAATTTAATTTAAATACATAAATAAAATATTCACATTGTTGTATTATTTTCCACAGACTAACTTAAATCACAATATTAAATTCGTCGACATGAAAGCAATTCAAAATTCATATCTTCATCTTTTCACGACCCACTTCAACGGAAATAACCGCTTCAACTGCTTCTGTCATTGATTCTTCATCTCATTTCTGTTGATCAGTTTTTCTGGTATAATTTCTCACACTCTGGAATATTAAGACAACACTTACTTTATATGCTTGCAAAAAAACATATTGGGGTAGAACGGGATACCAATGCATTCTGCCCTATCCCGTTCCACCCCGACAACACAGTTTAGGTTATCAAATTATGCTGGATTCAAAAGACGTCTATTTCACCTTAGAATATTACTAGGCTAGAGCTGAACAAGCATACTGTAAGGATATATGTCAGTAAAAGCTACAAACTTGATATTAAATAACTTACCTTACGCAGAAAACTGCTAAAAGTTGTAAAAAGTTGATGAAATACCCATGTCACAACAGTTCAGATGGTAACACTTTTCCAATAGAACTAAGATGGCCTCCGAGGCTGCCTTTTGAGTTGAATAGTTAGTAAAACGCTTCACTAGTAAGTTACAGCACCATACAACAAAAATAATACAGCTATCCCGTTGTACCCCGGTATCCCGTTGTGCCCCGGTATCCCGTTGTGCCCCGACTTCCCCTACAACTGGTCTTGTCCAAGGTTTGAATCGCTCTGCTCCAGGCTACTCTCTTATCAGTTGAAACATCCTTATCAGTTGAGCTGGTGAACTGATACAATGGCTATTGTCTGGTTGGGTTTGGAGTAATTGTTTGACATGATCCTCTAATTTTTATTTGAGCTGATTGCGCGCTCATCAACTAAAAAATGTGTAAATTCATCTTTTGAAGTGGCCAACTTCAATAAATGAAAATTAGTGAGGCAATAGAGTATATCAATTGTTACAGAATTTGTTATATAATCATGTAAGCTATCAATAAAAATTTGCAAAGACGAAGCAGGGCTGCGATATATGGCAGTTAAGTTACAATTCACGCCTGCCCACGTAAAAGTCAAGGAAAGACTCGTAGCGACACCGCCAATTAATAGCTGGTTATAGGAAGTTGATCATGAGTAATCTATGTATATTACTATTCCTTATTATATACCTAAATTCGCATTAAATGATTTGTGATTCGGATTAACAATTTCTTTACAAATAACAAAGGGAGACTCATCGTAATCTATGTTCATTATCGGACAGAACTATCGCTCTGCCAGCCAGTGGCGCAGCGTGCCGTCAACGGTATTCGTCAAATTCAATGGGGAATGTATAGAATGTTTGCGTCCCGAACATAGATGGAAGTCAACAAGGACGAAATTAATTGTTGCTATCCAACTATTACATCGCTACACTATGGAATAAATTCCAAACTATTTAGCTATTTTGAATATAAAATCGTAGACTAGATTTCAGAAAATTGTTTAGCTAGGCCTATTCGAGATAAAATCACGAACTGAATTCCAGAGAATAATGAAATAATTTGAAATGTAAAATGAAAAATATTTGATTAAATATACTGATTACATACGTTAAGGAAAGTATTTTCAAGAAATAATGCAAATACTCTGATAAATAGTGGAATGGGAATTTGTTAGTATTCGAATGTAATTATTTCGATAGTTGAATAATTATCTGAGTCGGCTAAGTCTAACTATCTGAGAAAAAAGAAATTTTTAGGTAAGGAAATGCCGATATACCGGGTGTTTCAAAATGACTCACCCGGTTTTAACGCTTTATAACTTTTATACTATTAAACTTACCGCTATAAAATACACATCAAACGAATAAGCAACTCAAAGAGTTTATGCCTACCAAAGACACATTATTTAATAAAATCGATCCAGCAGAACTGTAGATTTAATTGTACAAAGTTAAAAAGTTATCTCCAACTTTTTGTAGCACTAGAAATTTGGAGGTTACTTGACGTTTTTGCAAATAACTTTTAAATGGTGAGGAAATCGACCAAAGTGGAAGGTAATATTCCGAAAGAGAATAAAATTTCCTACAATCTACTATTATGCATTTTTTTGAAAATACTCAAGAAAGGTACCAAAAATTGCTTAAAAATGAAAAAAATTGAATATCCCCCGTCTTCAATGTAGACAATAGACATAGCAAACATTAAATTTCCCACTTTTTTATTTTAAGGCAAATTTAGGCTTCTTAACAATGAGCTCAGTTACTCTAAAAAATAGGAAAGTCAATAATAAATTTTAACTAATGCACGTGATAAAGTAATATAACGATTTGTTTAAATACGTGATATACAAAAAAGTGAAATAATGTAATAATGTAAATGAAGTACACTTTTTCACGTAGGTTAGGCCAATAATACAGTAAAATAACAATTAAAGTGATAACATAAATTAATACAAATCAAGATGAAAATGATTACGGGATGGAAATGCAATTTGCAAATGATTGCTGTACTGCAGATTAGAAGATATCCGATTTAAATATTAAGGCAATAAGGATTGATAGTATTAATGAAGTAAAAAAAGTTAGTTTACACTAGATTGGTCGAAAACTTAGATATGTGAGACATGTCAAATAGGTACCTGAAACTTCAAAGGGAGTTTTCCTTCGTCACAACGCGTCAGTTCTTATCGTACTTCTGTTCGACAAATAACCCTCCAGCATAGTTTTGAAAAATTGGTTGTGGGGTTACTGTTAAAGCTGGAATTGCGTGACATGGGGGATGGCAGTTAGATGTCTCAGCCTTATCATTTTCATAAAGTTGTCAATATAATCTCTCTACGGAATGTTAGGTGTAGTGGAATGTACTTGAAGTGGAGTTGGCTTTTATTCTTGAACTTTTAGGGACCTCCTTGTTTAAATGGTCGCGCAGCTTCATTGGCAACAAATAATGCAAACGAGAGGTCGTCCAGTGGTCGAAACTCGACCAAAAATACGTAATGTACTCACTTATCTATTTTCACCCCACACTGTAAATAAAACATGTGATTTGAGTTTCTCCCATTTGTTTTGGTTTTCTGTTTATATTTCGTTGTTATTTCGTTACCAGCATGGCAACGCATAAGATCCATGTTAATATTTTCAAATTTTTAAACTCATTTTTTGTGCTTATCTTTGAGCCTATTTAAATTTATAAAGGATTCTGCACACCTACAGGAAAATAGTTTTCTAACGGTATGCGTAGATTTTCCCTACGATGAACACGAGCTGAGAAAAAAGGTTTTAAAGAAACATGCTTGCCTATTAATATATAGATAACATAGCAATTTAACATTTCCAAAAATAAAAATAAGTACTGTAAATTGGCTGTTACGTTAATATCGACGTTTACATGCATTGTAACATGTAAACGTGGAGACAAAGTTTCCAATTAAATATTTAGATTCCTCCATGTTAATCTTATGGGAGAAAACCTAACTTTGATGAATAATCCTGCCCAAACTAATAAAGATTTTAAAAATTTAAAAACACTTTGCAAAACTACAGATCAGGCCAATTTTTTTTACACTTTAATCATTAAAATCGAAATTCAATCTATGCCTGGCTTGTTCTCAGCCAGGTCTTTGCCCATGAGAACGTGACTTGAACTTGAGATCTTGCGATCATCTTTACTTTTCATTCCTATGAGGGGTCAGCGAACGTTTTGTATTGTTCATGAGTTTGTAAAGAAAATGATTTAATAATTTAAATTTTTAATTTCCATATGTTTATAAGGGCATTTAACAACTGCGCAATTAATAAGTACTGTAAACCATATCACTGTAAAAGGCCGGTCTTTATAAATTATATAGTTCTAAAAGAAATTTCTATTTGACCTCTTTGTCACAAAAACATACTTCTTTGTGTAATGATTGTTATGTAAATGCAGTTGTCATCGTAATTTACAATTATTGATCTGTCTAAGTGTAATTTTTTCAATAAATGTAAATATCTTGTTTGGTAAACAAAGGATGTAATTGAATCTGTAAGTTAAGACAAGTATGCGAAAACTACAGTTTTCCATTAGCTCAAGCCTAAATTATATTGTATGTAATGTAGCTTGTTATATTTCGTTATTTTGTCACGTAAAAACATTTAAATTATGTATGATGTATAAATATAAAAAAAATTTAACAACAAATCCATTTGAAAGTAAAGTTTAGACATTGTTACGGTCGACATTGGTACATTATCATTGGCGAAAATGCACGTGCACATGACATTAATGCGGCTATGTGTTTAAGTTGAGACACGTTTGTAGAAAACACTAAAAAGGCAATCTTCTAAACAATTTTAAAATATTTACAACTTTAATTATATAGAAATGTTCATAACACAGTAAGTAATTCCATCCCAGATAGCAAGGACCCTTGATTCAAGGTAAACTTTTCCCTACAATTTGCATTCACAATTCAAGGTTGCAAATATTAGGAACATTGTGGCTGGATTCAAGGACAACAAAATACTGCCCTTTTTGAGTTCATAGATTCCGCCCTGAAACAGAGTCAACAAAACAACAGCGCGAATTCCCATGATGCAGTTCGACCAAGCGACGCCAGCCAGACGCCAGGATCCACCCCTAAACAATCCTAACCTCTTTGTCTTTGTCTTTGTGTGTCTTGTCAGTTTGTCTTTTTGCGACGTTTGTTTCTCGCGTTATTACTATATCAGAGTTTTTAGACATAAAGTATTCATATTGAAGTTAGTTTTTGTCAATTTTCAATTTCTTTGTTCATAGTTAATTCCATAGTGTTCGATTTTAGAAGACTAACTGCAACAAAAGTGCTTGTGAGCCAACGAAACATAAAGGTGAGTCAGCTAATCTTTTCATTGTATTCATAATATTTTTTCCATTCTTATGATAAGATATGTGTGTTAGAATGCTAATCATACTGACATTAGAACCTCAAGTTACAAATGCTCTGAAAATTATCTTACAACAATAAACTGCCAAATTTGGACTAGGATCCAGAATAATTCTAGGCCTGTGCTTGCCCTAGGCCTCATGACTGGTGAATTGTTTTATAGTTGGCCTAGAAAGTATTGTGATCCGTTGGAATATTGTATCTGGAATTTTTCAAGACCTAGTTACTTATTTTTGCCAAATCCGGTGGGCTACAATATTATGAACACACAAGCCAATATGTAACTTAATGATGCAGTTTTTTATCAGCGTAGATTGTCTTAAGTTATCATAGGCCGAAGTTATGAAGTTTCATTTAAGAATGAAGAAATGATTTTTGATGGATTGGATAAATAGACCTAGGCCTATAGAAAAATATTTTAATTTAGCTTAGGCCTATGTCTTAAGTTATAGACTTGGTACTGTAGCCTAGGTCTAAGGGCTTATCCTAGTCCTATGTCCTGATGCTAGGGTTTTTCGGCAAACGTTTAGATGGGTTAAGATTAGCATCTCTCAAAGATTTTAAGTTTTGTACGCCATACCCATTGATTAAACTAAGTAAAGGTAGGCTACCGTAATGAACTAATTTAAAACAACCTTCTACAAAATGTCACTTGACTGGAGACCTGCCATTTTGGTTTTATGTAGCTGTTAACTTTAAATCATATCCTGGTAACTTGTGCCTATTTAAGTTACTAAAGATGTATATTGCCCATGCTGTAAGTTGTAAAGTTATTGTAACAAGGTTACCTAGGCTGCTGTGTTATTTTTCAAATTAACTAATTAGCTTCAGCGAACACAGATTTAAAACAAGTGGCTTGCCGTTTGAACAAACGTTACAAGATGAGTTGCCATCTTGCTTTGCATCGAAATTTGCAGAATTTAGAAATGTAATTTAGACATTATTATGAATAACTTGGTCTGTGTGCTGCAATTTAACTTACGGTACCGGTATTAACAATTTTGGAAAAATTCTGAAATTTTCTGCTTTAAATAAACCTTACCATTTGTAGGCCTATAGTTTTTAAATTTTATTGATGATTTGTAATTTAAAACAAAAAATATTAATAGCCTAAATCATAACTTAATATTATTAAAACCTTAGAGTAAGAAAGTTAGTAGGTTAAACTTACTAAAACTTTCGTTTGTTGGTCAAACAAAAATTCACTTGGAAGAAAGTTGTTTAAAAAAAAATTAATGCCAGACTTATGGTTTACTTCTTTTTCCATCTTGCTTAATTTAGCCAGAATTTCAGGTTGAACAGAGAGGCAAGACCATTGAACGAGTCTAAACTAAATTTTTTGTACTTGATTCATTTGGTAAATCCCACTGTACACCCCTGAAAACACACACTGACCAATTATGTCTATTCTGTACTTTACTACAGAAGTGAGATTGTCAAAGCTAGTTTGTTAAATACAAATACATGGCATATTCTCTCTAAAAGCTGATTGTTTTGTATTTTTCTTCCAATACTAGCTGTAACCCGCGGGCTTTGCCCCGTTTAACTTCTTAATTTTCAAGATGATCTCGTTCGCATGGCTCAATCACGTCCTGGTTGAAGTTTGTTCGCTACGCTCACTCACCTTTAGATTGGAGCTCGTTCGCTACGCTAACTCGCCTCCAGGTTGAAGTTTGTTCGCTACGCTCACTCACCTTTTGGTTGCAAATTAGCTGTTGTCATAAATGTAAAAGAAATAATAGTGCTGCACCCTGTTGGTAATCCTTGTAACTTTAATGCTAGTAAACATCATAGAACAGAACCAACTTGTTTAATTGAAACAGCTGTTAAGATTCAATAATTCCATTTCTCATAAGGTTAACATGGGAAACTCCAGAGCCACTGGGGCGGAGCCCAGAGGTCGGAGGGTAAAATCCTTTCTTAGTGATCGTCTACTACCCAAAAGGATGATGCCTGCCAAGATTCAGGTTCCTAGGTCTTATGGTTTCTGAGATTTCGTGATGAGTGAGTGAATGAATGAGTCAGTGGTATTTGAGCTTTATATAGATTTGCATAACAAATTCTTTTGTTATTGTTATCTATTATGAGCCGTTTCACTTAAACTGTTTCAGTTGTAGCCAAGAGACTGTTGGCTGAAGCCACTGAATTGAAAGTAAAAAAAAACTGCATCCGTGCATGGCTGTGACAAGCCAAATTTAGGGCCAGTACCTAAAAGGTTTGTAGAGCATATTAGTTATAGAACTGTTTATTTCATAAGGTTTACTTTTGTTGTTACAGTAGAACCTCGATAGTTCGACACTCCCTGTAGTTCGACACAGGCCGTGATGACAAGACATGGCATCAGTGGCCGATGACGGGTTCACCAAGGTTAAAAACTAGAGCATTCTTAGTGTTTTCGTACATGGAAAAACTCAATAGGTAGCCTACTTAAAATATCCCATTAACATACATTTTTTCTAAGATCCAAAGTCTAAAAAGCATGTGACGTAAATTATGAGGGGCGAATAAGATTGTATTTACTGAGCAGCCTACCCCTAGTACCAGCCACGCTCAAATTTCTTCCCCGGGGTGCTGAGAAGGATTCACGGTTTTGACTGATTAATTATTTTAATTTAATCTAAGGTTCAGAGCTCTAGAAGCGCTCAAAAGATCCTGCAGACGCCCAGGAGGAGAGCAATATCATCCTCGCCTTTGTTAAAATGTTATTGCGAATTTTGGCTAACTTTTATAATAACTGTAGGACAGACGAGTACTCTACCCTGGCCAATTCGATAAAACTACCTACTCGTTTAAACTGTTGCAACAACGGGTTTTAGAATTCTAATAACAAGTCTCGGGTTTGTTAATTTGGTTTATTAGTAAAAGGAACATACAAGGGTGGTTTTTCAAGTAAGAGCCAGTTTCTGCGTATAAATCCATAATTCGCTTAAGTACGCTGCAGCAAGGCTCCTCGCCACTTGCTGGTATCATTTGTGAACAGAATGACACAATTTGCAGCTCTGTAGCTGACATGTACCTACATTTCGCTGTGTGTTTCAACAATTTTTTAGACTTTTTGTCCCCGTACGCTAGGCTGGAGCCCGGGATTGTTTTTCACATTACTTCAGGCTAGACCTAGGGGTTACGGCATTATCACTTAGTTAAAATCCATTGGTGATTTGGCGGGATTTGAACCCTGGACCCCAGGAACCGGAATGACCGCGCTCTAACCACTAGACCTGCTCGCTCCCCAATTTTTTAGACTATTGATAATGTCAATGATAATCAGGGCCGGAGAGAGCCATCATGGGCCCCTGGGCTCAGCGATCCCGGGCCCCCCTATTTACTTGATTTAGTGTCCAGCCGTCTCCGTGCCGTTTTGTCACACAAATAACTATATTAATAAATGTTTGCTCACAGTTTCAGCTTTAATCACAGTCAAAACAATTCAAGTAAAAAATTACTTAGTGAACTGGAAAACCATGCTGAAGCAGATTACATGTACAGAAAAAATTTAAAAAAAATTAGATAAAACATACTCCCTTAGTCGATACTTTATGATTTTTTTTTGTTGCAGGAAAAGAGGAGTTATTGGTGCACAGAATAGGAACATCAGGCTGAGGTTATGCGACAGTAAATAATGTATAAGTAAAATGTCACTTAATTTAACTCATGTTCTAATTTTCAAGTTTGTTTTATACTTTATATTTTCATAAAATAAATTTACTATAACCAATGTCACTTGCTACATTTTATTTATACCCCCACAAATAGTGATATTTTGGCTATGTTTGAAGAACTGTTTTGAACTTTTAAACTTTTTGTTGATCACTGAGATGTCTTTTCTAAAGCAGGGTCTGGTGTAATTTGATGAGGCCTTATTAAAAATTAAATGCTCTCACCCTTCACTCGCAAGCTTGGCAGAATAGGCTTATTATTTTTAACCTAACTCAGTTATCCTATACAACATTTAAATAAAGTGTTATAGCATCATTTATAGGTTTCTAGCTGCCCCTCCCCTTGGGCTTCACAACAGAATTGAAAAATTTTCTTTGCTACAAACAGTTGTTTTGCATTGGTTTTGCTTAGAATTTTCCTAACAGCGGTTTGGTAGCTAATACAATTAAACGAAAGTTCTGTCAAAAGAAAAATATGTTAACATTGTAATTTTAAAGCCAGTGAGCCAGAGCCCTGATGGAATCTCTCAAAGCTACTTCTTGTACATATTAAGTGAAACCTATTATGGAGGTTAAGTGAAACCTCCATGCCACCAAGTTCTGAGTACATATGCATGGTAGTTTTTGAGGAATAGTGATCAATGAGTGAGTGAGTGGTAACTGTATTATAATATAGATTATAAGGTCAAATTATGTATCCACCCAAAGTTTTCTGCGTAGATTAAAGCTTAAGGTAATGTACCTTGCGTTTAATATTTTAAGGCTTAACTTACTGCCATAAAGCAACCAATATTTTGATGTCCTAATAGATAGCTGTCCCCGCGCTTAGTAGGCATCATTAAAGTTCTTGAGTTCACAAAGACAAAACAGCTAGGCTATCCACTAGGACATTAAAATATTGGACTACTTTAAGACCGTAAGAATGCCGTAAGTCAAGTAAAATTCCTTGTCAGTCAATCACTTGTTACTGTATGTACTGAGTTGATCATGATTATGCTTTTATTTAACCCGAATTCAACAATATATTTTGATTTCAGCCAAAAATCTTTACCTGAATTAACCTTAAATTTTCAGGTTATGAGTCCTGAATTGACCATGATTTTACCTTAATTTAAACATACTTATACCTTAATTCAACCTCAATTCAGCCTTGATTATGCATTACTGCCAGAAACGTTTACCTTGAATCAACCTAAAATTTTCAGGGTTGATTCAGGTTTCACAAGTGTTCAGTAGGACCCTTGAATTAGCCCTGAATTAGGCTTGATGGCTTGATATTTTAAGATTAATTCAGGCTTGCATCTTTGAAAGTTTAACCTTGATTTAATACTGAATCAGGAAAAAATTGCTATCTGGGATTAGTTGCATAAGCTTTTACGTGCGTCTTTTTAATTAATTGAAAATTAAGTCTGTAATAACTCTTAAAATAGCTCCTGTAATACCGGTACTTGATAATTGCTTGATTTCTAGCAACGAGTACACAAGTTAAAAATTCAACAATGCATTAACATAACAAGCTCTCTTTCACGCTGCAAGACTAGTAAACGGCAGAAGTAAGGCAGAACGGCAGAACTGCGGTATTGGTTTACCATAAACGCCTGCAACGATGTGCTGCAAACCGCGCGACGAGTAGCTAAATGAACCGTAGAGTAAGTGAGCCTTCTAATATTTGTAGAGGGTTCACTTACTCTACAGATCATTGTGCCAATGAACTGTAGAGTAAGTGAGCCGTCTTCTATTTGTGTAATAGTTATCATGAAATAGGCTCGTATAGTATACGAGCCTACTCCTGTAATTTATTTAAATTCAGTATTTTGGCTCGTATACTATACGAGCTTATTCCTGAATTATTCAAGAATTCATACGCTTGGCTCATAGGCACAATGATCGGTAGAGTAAGTGAACCCTTTTCATTTATTTGATATTTTAGATCGGCTCGTATAGTATACGAGCCTGTAGTGCAAGTGAACCTTCAATATTATTTACGAAGCTCGTATAGACTATGATTTGTAGAGTAAGTGAGCCATGTGTTTTAAGTATTACATATTTGGAGGCTCATTGTGTCAATGATTCGTAGAGTAAGTGAACCCTAACCCCTCTGTGTTTCTTCAAATGTTGTAAATAGAGTATTTCTGGCCTAAATACGAGTTTCATGCAGTTAGAACTGCTGTTGAAAATGGAAACATGCAAGCATAGATAATATTGTGATTGCTTATTAGTATCTTTGACCTTTGTATACATTGCATAAAGCCAATAATGATGATGCTGTCACCCAAACAGGGATTAAATCCGATTTGTGGTAATATTTCAAGTTGCTCATACAGTACAATCAGAATATTTGGGATTTTTATAAATGAGGCTCAAGGAAAATATACCTATTAGAGCTCTAAATAGTTTAACTATGCTATAACCTAATACAGTTGATATGAGTTTAACAGAACACAAAAATACTTAATATGCATTTGACAGAACACACTTTTTTCAACGACTGTAAGCTCCAAAGAATGTAGTATCATTTATTTTACATCTTCCACGAGGGAGACTTATAATCCATGACCGTGTTCAAGAATCAGCTGTATCAATCCTGAGCGTATGGCAACACTGATATTTCTTCTTTACAATCATTACAATTTCCTTCTTCTTCTTATCTTTACTGCTTGGCAGCACACAGAGCATGTGTTATACATAACCTCAATCTTTATCGTGATTAAATTTTGATCCATCAGACTAGGACTCATTGATTTATTATTAATTAAATACATTCCAGTTTGTGGTCGTATTAAATTTTATAGGCTTTAAGTTAATATTCTTATTATGGCTATTTGATTTTGGTTTTGTAGTTGCAGTTGAAAGAATATACCTACTACTGTACATAAGTTAGGCTTACTTTCGTAAATAGTTTGTAGTCCCTGAACTAGTAAGGCCTAGGCCTATTTACTGTTGACCGCGGAGTCCGTCATGGGAAGGAAAGCTAAATTTACTGATGAACAGAAGCCCAAAAAAGGAAAAGGAAGGAAGGCAAAGAAACAAAAGGATCCTATTTTCCCGGCTAGTTTAAGTAAGTTATGATATTATAGTCCCTAAATCCACTTAAGTTTTAGGAATTTTAGGCCTACTTAATTCCTACACCCAACCATGTTATTTTGTAAAGTATAAAGAGTTGTGGCTGCACTTTACTTGACGTCCTACACTCATTCGATTGTTTTTTCGATTTGATATTTTCATTCGATTGTTTCATTCGATATATCGTTTGAACCAAACGATATATCGAATGAAGCAATCGATTAATCGATATATCGATTGATATTTTCATTCGAATGAGTGTAGGACGTCAAGTAAAGTGCAGCCAGAGTTGTCTCTTGCACTTCAGTTTAACATATTAGAAGATAGTCGAATGCATGATTATTCTTTCAAGATTGTTCGGGTAGGCCTACAGTTAGGCCTATGCAGAGATCCAGATTCAGGGTGTCCACATTCTGGAAAGTCATGAAAAAAAATTCTGGTCATTGAAAGTCATGAAAATAGGCAAAAGGTCATGGAAAGTTATTAAAATCTCCAATGATGGATGAATTGTAGGGAACTTGGGTACACTTCCATATCTGTTGGCACAAACAACCGAATGAGTAATATTGATTATTTGATTGTTTAGTTCGAGTACCTGGGGACCGTGCTTTGCTCGGGGAAAATCATTAGTTCACTCTGAAAGCACCTTAGTATTGGAGATGCATAAATCCATTCCCAAACTCCACACGGCTCCCCTTTACTACGCCCTACACCATTTCCTACGTCATGGACTTGTTTCCCTCCATTCCCATTGCATTTAAAGATTGCAGATACCTTAATCTAATCGTCTTAAACAGTTCCCACACTCCGGACAGCTCACCTTGACAACTTCCTTCATTACTTCCTACGTCACGGACCTGTTTTCCTCCCTTCCCATAGCATTTTAGGTTTGCTGATACCTTAATCTAATCGTCATTAACAGTTCCAACACTCCGGACAACTCGCCTAGACTACTTCCTTCACCACTTCCTACGTCGCGGACCTGTTTTCCTCCCTTTCCATATCATTTTAGGATTGCAAGTTACCTTAATCTAATCATCATATCGAATAATCGATATATCGATCGATATTTTCATTCGGTTGTTTGTGCCAACAGATATGGAAGTGTACCCGGGAACTTTTCAATACTCTAATTTAGTCAGCTGTGACCCCGACTATTGTAGCATTTTTCAGGATTTTCCACAAATGTTTTTAGTACAAATTTATTACTGTTGTATCAAGTTAGGCCTAGTTTATGAGTTTTGAAGAATGAAAGTGGAGAGAACTTGGCCAGCTGTGGGGACGGTGGAGGCTGGGTTTACTTTTTTCCTTCCTTTTTTGAATGCATATTTGGGTACAGTTTCTTAACTGGGCTACGCTAATATTGATTGAAACTATCAATTTGATTAGTAAACCGTCATGCGATTTTTCACCATCAGCAAGTTTGGTTGGTTAGGTTGGTTATGATGTTTAAATTTATATTTAGATATAAGAGACCTGTCATCGATGATCGAGGGTTCGATGAGGTTTCATACATTATTAATCAATATTTTCAATTCGATAGTTTCAATCTTATTAGCGTAGCCCAGTTAAGAAACTGTACCCGCATAAGTTATTTTAGCAAAATGTACTCCATCTATATATTAATACGCAAGCAGTTTTCTTTTCACAGTCATAACTCAATAACGGCTTGATGGATTTTCAAGTTTGAGGTGTCAGATTAAAGGTATCTTCACGTAGATGTGCAAATACGTCTCAGAATATTTAGAAAGGGCACCACTTAAGTACACTTAAGGGCTTAAGTCTGGAAGGCGGCGCTATCTGTTGACATTTGATCAAACTAATTTCCCTTTGTTTACAAATAACATATGGACGTAGTTTGAAATAGTTTTTAAGGTTAACCACAGACGGCAGGACTTAAAACTTCCAGAGCAAAGCTGGAATTTATATTTTGTTTCAATCTGTTAACTAAGTCTGGTTCATAATGAAGAGCATCATATCAATACTAGACAACAAAGTGTTTAAGAATAAATATTTAATTCTTTTTAGTTTTTAAGTTTGACCATAGACTGCAGGACTTATTTATTCCAGAGCAAAGCCGGAATTCTATATTTTTATCTAAACATCTGTTAACTAGCTGTTTCTTAAGTTAAGAGTTTCCTAGCAAGACTTAACAACAAATTGTTTGTAAATAGTTGAATGTATTTACCTTACATCATATTTTACCGAATTATCGTGTTGTTTTGGTTACAGTTTGGTGTGATGAAACGAATGTTTTAAAGTGATTATTTCCAGTGCAGTTACATCACAATATCATGTAATTTACAATGTGTATAACAATTCCGTTGTAGTATTTTCTGCTGTTTTGTTAACTTTCGTAATTCATCTAAATTAAAAATAATATGCTACCAGTAAGACGAATACTGTGAGTGGCTGGAGGAAACATATTTGTACTGTTTATTTCAGGCCAAGGTCACCGTTAGTAGCATACCAAAGATTTTTTGATTGTTTTTTACAGTTAAATTCATTATCGAACTGTGATATTATTGTATTAGGTGATTTTAATATTTCAATCTATGGTCAGGACTTTTGCTTGGATCAAGGTGACAATATATGTAAAGAATTATTTATTTTTTTGAATTTGCATGGTTTAAGTTTAAAGAATGATATTCGTAACTTTCAAAATAAGACATTGGATTTAGTCATATCAAATTGTGAGGAAGTAGTGGTGACGAGAAGCGGTGAACAATTAGTTAGTGAAGATCTTTATCATCCGGCTTTGGAGGTAATTGTTGTGTCGGCTACTCCGTTATCTGGTCGTTCAAGGTCAACCCAGTCAGCTGGTTATTGTTTCAGACAAGCCAATTTTTTACGAATATACGAAGATTTACAACATGCTGACTGGTCAAATTTATATTCTATTTTGAACGTTGATGATGCTCTAGATCGTTTTTACAGCACACTTTATGAAATAATTGGTAAAAACTGTCCATTAAAGAAAAATAAAAAAGCAAAATATCCCTTTTGGTTTACTCCTTCTATTATTTACAATTTAAAACGTAAAGAAAAACTTAGAAGAAGGTGGAAAAAAGTAAACACTGATGAAGCTTATAACTTATTTAAAGTCCAGAGAACAGCAGTAAAAAATGAAATTGATCTAGCATATCGCAATTATGTAAATGGAGTGGAAGATAGTATAAATATTGACAGCAGTAAGTTTTGGAATTTTATTCAAAGTAAAAAATCTGAACGAAATAAAATTATGATAATGGAGCACAATGGAGTAAGACTGGATAACGGAGGAGCGGTTGTAAATGCATTCGCGGAATATTTTAGTTCTGTGTACGAGAGTTACACTACAGAGCCTAGTGTGGAGTGCGCGGTGGAGGGGCCGTGTCTGGGCGGCGCGTCTTGCCTCACACTGCCTCGCCTCAGCTGTCAGGATGTGCAGGACCAGGACGCCATCAAACATTTAAAATCAAAATGCACTACTGGTCCAGATTTACTCCCACAATATTTATTTAAAGGTTGTTCTGAACTTTTAGTTGGGCCTTTAGAATTTTTATACAATTTAAGCTTGAAAACTAATATATTTCCCGAAAGATGGAAAACAACCAAAGTAACTCCAATTTTTAAGAGTGGAAAAAAATCCAAAGTCTTAAATTATAGACCGGTAGCAGTGTTATCTGTACCGGCAAAGATATTTGAGATTATTATTCACAAATATTTATTCAGACATTTTCAAAAATACATTTCAAATGACCAGCATGGGTTTGTCCCAGGAAGATCAGTCAACACAAATTTATGAAATTTTACTAGTTACGTTTCCTCTGGTCTGGATTCTGGGGCTCAGACAGACACGTTATTTCTTGATCTGGCCATTGGCCAAAGCGTTTGATAAGGTTGACCATTCAATTTTGTTGCAGAAACTGCATTGGTATGGCATGTCAAATGATTTATTGCATTTTTTCAAATCTTACATTGTTAATAGGAAACAATTTGTTTTCTATCATGGATTTTCCTCTGCTGTATTCAATGTCCAATCTGGGGTTCCCCAGGGTTCGAATCTAGGGCCTTGTCTTTTTACAATACTAATTAATGATCTAAGTGACTGTATTTTAAATTCAAATTCACTTCTATTTGCCGATGATTTAAAAATGTTTAAGCATATCAATAGTCTTGATGATGCAAATAGCTTACAAGAAGATCTTGACAATGTTTATAGGTGGAGTGTTTCAAACAAAATGACTTTTAATGTTTCTAAATGTCAACTAATGACTTTTACTAGGACTACAAATTTTTTACGAAATGACTATTTTTTAAATGGCATTTTAATTAGTAGAGTAAACAAAATTAAAGATTTAGGTGTTCACATGAATTCTGCACTATCTTTTAATTTTCATATTGAAACATGCATTGCTGCTGCAAGTAAAATGTTGGGGTTTATAATTAGACAAAGTACAAATTTTAGAAACATTGAAACATTAATTATGCTTTATCATTCGCTGGTCAGATCAATATTAGAAACCTGTTCCATAATTTGGAATCCATATCATTTACAGTTTAAAGATGCTTTAGAGAAAGTCCAGAAAAAGTTTTTAAGATTCTTATTTTACAAATGTTTTAATATTTATACGTTCGATGTTCCATACCATGATTTATTACAACTGTTTGGGCTGCAGAGTCTAGATCTGAGGAGAACGATCATTGGTCAGGTGTTCCTGTACAAACTGGCGCGTGGAGAGGTTGACGACGCTGCTAGCCTGGCCGGCCTGTCTTATCGTGTACCCTGCTTCAATAGTAGAAACAAACATCTCTTCTCGTTGCCCTACAGCCGCACCACTGCCCATGCCTCCTCCCCCCTCTATCGATTAATGAAAGACTACAATTACGTAATAAAAAAGTGCAATAATATTGATATTTTCTCTGACAACATAAACAATTTCAAATTGAAATTAAAAACAGTATTAATCAATCAGTAAATGTCAATTTATATATTTTTCGTTGTTCTATTTATTTTTACTACTCAGTATTTATATATTTATATAATTTATCATTGTTAATCTTTTTTAAATATATATACATTGTTGTTATAGTTATTGATAATTTTGTTTTTATGTTAGTATTAAATGCATGGCATGAAAGTGTAAGTAAAAATGAAGTGAAAAGACAAGAAGAAACCCACTGAAGCAACAATATTATAAGTGCATGAACTGCTTCAATGTAAATGGTCTTTAAACTGTATTGAAGCATGTAAATAAAATAAAATAAAAATAAAATAAAATAAAATAAAGTTGTTTTTATTTACTTTATTCTTAGTTTTTTTTTTGTTATTGGAAGTTACGACTAAAATAGGCCTAGCAACATTCATTATTATCGATGATTTAACTTACTTTCAATATATCAATATTTTTGTTTTCCTATACCGTACGGATCATATTCCTTCCGTTTCCGTATTTTGCATTTTAATTGCGAATGAAGAATAAGCATAATCTTGTTTAGGCAAAAATATTATTTGGGCCTATGGATTATAAGAAATGAAACTAACTAGGCCCTAAGTTTATTCTTCACTAACCTAACATAACTAACCAATGTTGCTGAAGGTTAAGTTGCCGTTTAAAAATTCCGTTTGATAACTTAAAAGGCATGTGGGAAATAGGCTTTCAAACGGAAATTTGGAAATTTTACAACAAGTTTGGTTTTAAGTTAATTTATGACAGTTTTTTAATTTCAATAATATTGATAGTAGGCCTATATAATTTATTATTACATCAATAAAAATGTAAACAGATCATAACTCAATTTAATGTTTAGGTTACATAATAAATTATAATGTAGAAATGATCCATCAAACTGAATCAATATCAATTTGTTTATATTTAAAAATATAATACATCAGTTTCTCTGCGGAACTGTACCTGATTGTTAAATAGGTCATCAATGAGTCAGCTTAGGCTAGGACTATATGCAAAGATGCTGCATTTGCGCCCTGAAATGAGTTAGTCAATAAATGCACCCAACATACCAGTTGTGTGTCTCCGCATCCGGTTTAAAAGCCCTGACTTAACTCAGTTCACTAACCAAGCTGTATGTAACAGTTCAAACAAATATTTTTGGTTAAATTTGTGTATTATAGTAAGTTTTTCCTATCCAAAAATTGAATTTTTAGGGTACTGAGTGTGTGGCAGTTAAGTTATTTCAGTAGCAATAAATTAACTCACTTTACTTCCTGGCCTACCAAAAAAATGTAATGACTTGTATGTGTTTCAGCTGAAGGTGTCTCTAAAACTTTGAGCCATCGTCAAAAGCAGAGAGCTGCAAAACGAGCTATTAAAACTGCTTTGAAACAAGAGAAAAAAGCAAAGAAAAAAGAAAACCGCTTAGAAACATCTTTGAATGACGCTAAATCATCCCTTAACTCTCCACAAGATTCTAGTTTTAAGGAGAAGCAGAGTGACAAGTTGACGAATAAAAATTCATCCAGTGCAGTTGATCTTGTATCAAAACAGAAATTAAATGGTAAACAGAATAATACAACTCCCAAATTCAAGAAAAATGAACCAGACTTCAGCTCTATTTCTGGTAACTTCATCAAGTCAGAATCAAAAACGCCCAATCGCAAAAGTATTACCGGTAACCAATTTGTTGTTACTCCATCACATCTGGAAAATGTAAAGGACTCTAAAAAAAGTTTGGCCAAGGGTTTGAAGAGAAAATTGGACGATGAAGATTCTGCTGAAACAGGTTGGTACTAGGCCTAACTCAAATCCTATATATTTGGTAGTCAGCATAAATTATTATTACATTAATAACTAGCTGTTTGCCCGTTCTACTTACTGGAATCTTGTAGTAAGTTAAAACCTTATATTCAGAACAGGAGTTGGTTTGCATATTTAGTGTGCATTTTTCCAGGTATGATGGCAAAACTATAATTGTTTAGGAATACATATAAACCTTCTCAAATACAATATCTGACAGTTTCAAAGCCAAAACAAATGCTTCGCAATTAAATGTCACCCGATCGTGTTAGTCCATATTTTATATCTAATGATGGAAGGAATTGCTTTACAGTATAGATCTATGAGGCATAGCCCTAAGGTAGGCTTGTAATTGAAAGAAAGTTACTTTTCACACTGGTTAAAAGTAGTTAAAACACTACCTCAACCCAGACCTCAACCTCACTACTGCACACTTTATTCGGGTTGAATTTTGTTATTAACAATGGTGCTCTTGTCTTTTCCACGAAAAATAAGGACATTAATGCGACCAATAGACATACACACACAAATACAGAATTGAGTCCACACAACATTTTGGAGTCCACACAACATTTTGGAGTCCAGACAGAAAACGCTAAAAATTATACTGTCACAGCGGCCCTCTTTAGTCTTCGTAGCGGTTGGGAGCAGGAAGAACGAACATTAAAACAAGCGAATAGGGATCAACTAATTTTATTAATTATCGAATAATGAATAATGACTTTACATAACTACAAACACGATGGTACAAGAAAATACAACTAACACTTTGTACTCGCGACTAACAGAATATTAAATGATTTTAACACTGAATTTAGAACGTACACGGACTCATAGAAAGAGTAAGAGAAAGAAAGGGCGCGAGACCGCGCGCGGCGGACCTTACCGTCGTTCGCTACATTCCGGCGCGATCTGATTGTTTCAGCATCGTCCGAGCGAGAGCCTCAGCGTGGTCACATGACCATCGCCAGCCAATCAGCGCACGCTGAGCGCTCAGCCCATAATTCAACGCGTGGACAGTTGCTTGACAGGTGCTGCAGCCAAACGATTACAATGGTCGTTAATAAAACTAATTGAAGCGAGGAACCGAGTCTAGAAGTGTAACATCGCATATCGCGACACACGTGCATGCAAAGTCAGCACATTCCAGGGTACATCCGGCCAAGCCACGACGTCTAGTTAGGATTATTGTAGGGTTACAAAGTAATGAAATGAATTGGAATATGAGTTATAAGGTTCACTTGGAGACTTATTTGAAGTTAAATAAAATTCAATATTGCTAAATACGGTTAACACATCAACCTAGCAAATATTCGGTGATAGCCAACGGGCCAGGTTTAGGGAGTAAGGCCAATCAGCTTAAGCTCAAAGTTAACAAATTACAACAAAATGAGGCAAATATGCCAGGGCCGTCACACTCCCCCCACCTCAAGTTCATGCCATCCTCGGCATGCAGTCTGCCCTTCCAACTGGGCCCTCTGCCGCAGCTTCAATCTATTGAAGTACATTATACAAATTCTGTCGACGTAGCTTTCTCTGTCTCCAAGTTATGCCAAGATTTGGAAAGGTTTTTGGAAGGTATCTGTCATGTGGCTTGGGCGGATTTAAATTTTATCTATTCCCAAAAATTTAAACCCCCCTCAAATTTTGATAATACGTCTCTTACTCTTTTCTTCGAATACAATAACAAAAGTTACTAAACAATTTTCCAATACATTAAAATTAATAGTCCTCCCGAATTTACAAAGATTACTTAAGTAAATTACTACAAAGAAAAAAAAACTTAACTACAAGGTCCACTTAGCCATCAATCAGGACAACGGTAACAAAAAAAACGCTTACTACACTCAATACAAAACAAGACACCTGGACCAATTACCGTATTGAACAAAAAGAATTCACAGTTAAAATTTACAAGATACAACAACTTAAAAGGTAATATAACTTAGTAAAGCTTAACCCCTCATACTAAACTTAATAAAAAAAAAACATTTCACGCATACTCATTATGACTCGTTAAATTATGTCCCGACATTAAACAACCTAACGCCTACTAACCCCGACGGTGATACAACATGTATCCCTAACACTTAACATACACTTAACATGTATCCTTAACAAACATTTACCCGCAGCACACGGCAACAGTAGGTAAATCGAATTGAATTAACGCCCCAATTCACAAACAAAAATAAAATAACTAACAAAAGGAAACTTACGGTTGTCACTTTCTGTGCAAAACTTCCATATCAATTTAGTTCCCACCGAAATTAACATTCACAACAATTTACATAATACAACAATACAATAAATTGAAAATCATCGTTAACACATCAGTCACACCGTCATAGATACAACCAAGGGGAATTTAACCACAATTTATGCCAACGGTCCGGCTGAGGTACTGCTATTCCTAACTAACCTATTACAACGATTGGTCCCTTAAACTAATTTATCATGGAGAAGCAAAACTTTTGGTAGCGGTTAATTTTGTGCTTCCGCCATATACCTAGCTAGACACATTCTCCAGTACCTCAGTCGAAATTTGGGTGGGAGGTCTGGTACGGTATCCTTGCGGAGGGGGTTCCGGACAGTTCCCCTCAGCAAGTAGTTTCACTTATCTTAAGCTTAGTAATCACAATAAAAAAGATTTTCTATGCAAGTCGCACTAGGTGGCCACAAGAGAGGAGCACGGCCGTTGCACCTCCCTCCGTACACCCGGCTCGACTTGGTGTTGGTTCTTGCCCAACATCTCAACATCTAGGTCTTTGTCGATTTGTTTATTTATTTATCTTATTTTTTCCAACAAAACAAAACGAAAACACCTTTACCAGCCTCCACCTTGGGCAAAACAACTTACAGCTGAAAACTCTAAACAATGAAACAAAAGAAATACAATACAACACAAAATAAAATTACGACAGAATAAAACTAACACAAGAGAATAAAACATTAAAATAATAAAATAAAGTTAGCAACCCATGGGTACCCATTAAATAAGGAAGACAAGTCCACACTGCCTCTCCGAAGACAATAGTGTTCAGTAGTGCACGTAATGTTCGAGTTTTGTCGATGAACCGGTTACCGCATTTACACAACGTTCCGCTCTCGGAAGAGGTATTGTTCTTTAGTTATTCCAGAGCTTCCAACCGCGTTGTCAAAATATGACGTTTCAACGCACAACACCGTTCTACGTGTCCAGCACTGCGTGTCTTGGTTACTACTAGTGTTCCGAGTACTCACTTCTATTATGTGGCCACCACGTCTTTCGAGATATCATGGGGTTACCGGTTAGAGTGCCGTAACCCGCCGTCTCCAGGGCTGCAGTCCCTCTGTCACAATCAGGCCTTGGAGTTGTCACTAACTCCACATCAGGGTCGTTTGCATCTCCCCTCTCCGAGAACGTCTCAGGCACCCTGGCGAGTCTCGCAGTCCTACGGAGCAGAGAGCCTCGGCACCAGGTGGCAAGCACGTCTCGACACCTATAACAGGTGCACAACAGCATCAGGGCTACTAACACACAAGTCCCTATCCTTGCTAACAAGTACATCACAACCACGACAAGGGAAGCTCTTCGTTCCACCCCCCTTTACATCTCAAGCGCAGCTGGTAGCGGCTAACAGGTTATGCCAGGCAGGCGTACACAGGCGCGAGCAACAGTCAAAATGAAATTCTCACCAGGGGAAGCTCTCTCACCACTCTCCCCTACAGCTCAAGTACAACTGGTAGCTGCTAGCAAGTTAGGCTAGGCAGACGTACGCAGGTACGAGCAAAACACTCTCACACTCACAGCGCTAAACACATTAGCCTCAGGGGACGCCCTCTTACCACTCCCCTCCACGCTCAAGTACAACTGGTAGCTGCTAGCAAGTTAGGCTAGGCAAGCGTACGCAGGTACGAGCAAAAGTACTCTCACACCTCATTTACAGGGGGACCACCGGCAGAAAGATTTCTCGCCAAAATAAAAAAAACACCATCCTAACCAGGACTCTCAGGGTCCCACACGAGTTAATTGCTGCCAAATGAACAGGCCTAACTCAACAGTACAAATTATGCAGAGTCTTTAATGGAGCTCATGCTTACTTTGTGACTTCGACTTGATAAACGGTCCCCCACCAAAAAAAACACAACACTTTCACGACACCTGGACCTAGTCCACAGGGAATTTAGCATGTTGCTGTGCCTAATGTAATACAGCGCGGACAAGCAAGCAATCCCAAACGTGGTCAAACACCTGAGGCTCAGACCACACCTCCACCTCGCTGACCACTCACCATTGAATGATGCCAATATCCGAATGGGGCACGCTTCCAATGCACAAAAATTCCAGGCCAAGAGCCAATCCACTGACCCACGGTCAGCCAAAACTACACCAGAAATATACTTGATATACTTCCTTTCAAAATAAAATTTTCCTAACCGCTTCATCATTTTTCACATTTTCGAAATAATTTTCCCCCGCAAGTTACATTTTTCATATACTTTTACAACAAGGCTAAAGCGAGCATAATTTGACAACCCCAACTCAGTTCAGGGCCAATTACAGGTACTAATTTGGGTTATTTTACTGACTTATACACTAATCAAACCAGATCCATCACAGTGGGACAGTGTTAGCTGCTACTGCAACAGCAGGTCCGCAGCAAGGAGTCTCCATGTGTCCCAGTCAACAGGGACAGCAAGGCCTGGCTTACACTCCTATATAAAACTGTTCTTTAGGTTGACATTGTCGCAGTCAACCCCACCAGCTGACACCAGTTGTCACAGCAGCCTCTCTTCTAGTCTTTGTAGCGGTTGGGAGCAGGAAGAACGAACATTAAAACAAGCGAATAGGGATCAACTAATTTTATTAATTATAGAATAATGAATAATGACTTTACATAACTACAAACACGATGGTACAAGAAAATACAACTAACACTTTGTACTCGCGACTAACAGAATATTAAATGATTTAAACACTGAATTTAGAACGTACACGGACTC